AATGAAACTATAATAGTTTTATTTTCATTTTCAATTTTACTTCAGAGCCCCATGTGACTCGTGAGCCACAGTTTGCCGACCCCTGGCCTAGAAGAAATGGGTAATTCCTAGAAACATACCTCCTACTAAGACTGAACTCTCAGACGGAAGCTGGTACAGTGTGTAGTTAAGTTCACTCTAGGAAGGAACTGAGATGTGTTTTGCCTGCTTCCTCTGCACCAAGCCCTGGGGGACAGCCACTGGGAGTGTTAGCACGCCCACTAACAGCTGCTGCTTTGTTTGCTATAGTCTTTTTTGAATCTTGTATGCAAGCCTCCTTGGCTTTCAGAGTTAGATGTTTTGAGAGCTTGCCCTTTGTGTGGGAGTCTTAAAAGTTGGGGTACTAAATGTGGGATCCAAACCCTTCACTCCTCAGGGAGAAGCTGGAAATTGGGAGTTCCCTCCCAATTGTAGGTGCTATGCTGGGGGTGGGGTTTATGGCCAGGAGGTCTCAGCTTTGCCACCAGTTTCAATGTGGGTATTTTCTTATTTGCCAGATGTATAGGAGTTGCTTAGCTAGTTTCTGGATTTCTCTCAAAGGAAATTGCTTCATTTGTACATTCAAGTGTGTCCATGGGAGGAGGGGAGTTTCAGGGGGCTCCTACGTTACTATCTTGGTCTACCCCATATATCTGTGCTCTGCTTAATAAATGTTAATTTGACAATTTCATAACACATGGAAAAAACCTAAGTGTCCTTCAGTAGATGAATAAAGACAATGCGGTGTTTTCTCTCTCTCTCTCTCTCTCTCTCTCTCTCTCTCTCTTTCAGCCATAAAAAGGAGGACTGGATTAATAAACACAGACAGTATATTAGTGGTTGCCAGGGGTTAGAGGGTAGGGGAAATAGATTATGTTGGTCAGTGGGTTCAAATGTTCAGTTATGAGTAAGTTACTGAGACCAAATGTACAGAACGGTGACTATAGTTAACAATACTGTATTACTGTATTATATTCTTGAGATTACTGAGAGTAGATCTTAAATGTTCTCACCACTAAAAAAGAAAAAGGAATGGTTACTATGTTGTGAGGTAATTGATGTATTAACTCAGCGGTTCTCAACCTTTCACAGGGGTCGCCTAAGACCATCGGAAAACACATACTGTATTTGCCGGCGTATAAGACGATTTTTTGGCCCTGAAAAATATGCCTCCAAGTGGGGGGTCGTCTTATA